CACCCATTCCATTTTCATAACAATGTCCAACAGCATATATTCCATCTAAATGTCCCATACTTGCAGATTTTTGATAATATTTGAATGCCTCATTTGTATCTTTTTCAATTCCTATTCCGTATTGATAACAACGTCCAGCATTATATATTCCATCCACATGTCTCATATTTGCAGATCTTTGATAATATTTGAATGCCTCATTTATATCATTTTCATCTCCTATTCCGTATTGATAACAGCATCCAAGATTATAGGTTCCATGAGCATGTCCAATATCTGCAGATTTTTGATAATATTCGAATGCTTTATGTTTATTTCTTCCAATTCCTATACCATTTTCATAACAATGTCCAACACTATATATTCCATCCGTATGTCCCATATCTGCAGATTTTTGATAATATTTGAATGCTTCACTTAGATTATTTTCAACTCCCATTCCATTTTCATAACAACGTCCAAGATTATATATTCCATCTGCATGCCCGATATCTGCAGATTTTTGATAATGTTTGAATGCTTCATTTATATTTTTTTCAACTCCTATACCATTTTCACAACAACGTCCAACATTATATATTACATCTGCATGTTCCATATCTGCAAATTTTTGATAATATTTTAATGCCTCATTTGTATCTTTTTCAATTCCTATTCCGTATTGATAACAACGTACTACGTTGTATAATCCATCTGTATTGCCCTTATCTGCAGATTTTTGATAATATTCGAATGCCTTTTTTACATCTTTTTCAGCACCCATTCCATTTTCATAACAATGTCCAACAGCATATATTCCATCTAAATGTCCCATACTTGCAGATTTTTGATAAAATTTGAATGCCTTCCTTATATCTTTTTCAACTCCGATTCCATTTTCATAACAACGCCCAACAGCATATATTCCATCTATGTGCTTCAAATATGCAGATTTTTGATAATATTCAAACGCCTCCTTAATATCTTTTTCAACACCTATTCCGTTTTGATAACAACGTCCTACATTATATATCCCATCCGCATATCCCATATCTGCAGATTTTTGATAATATTTAAATGCATTATTTGCATTTTTTTCAACACCTATTCCATTTTCATAACAACGTCCAAGATTATATGTTCCATCAGATTATTCCATATTTGTTGATTTTTGATAATATTCGAATGCATTCCTTATATCTTTTTCGGTTCCTATTCCATTTTCATAGCAACTTCCAAGATTATATGTTCCAATTGCATTTCCGATATGGTCATATTTTTGATAATAAATGAATGCCTCATATTCATCTTTTTTAACTCCAATTCCCTTATATAACAATTTCCTACTTGATTTATTCCATCAGCGTGGCCCATATCTGCAGATTTTTGATAATATTTGAATGCTTCATGTTCATTCTTTTCAGTTCCAATTCCATCCTGGTAACAACGTCCAACATTATATATCCCATCTATATGTCCGATATCTGCAGATTTTTTATAGTGTTCGAATGCCTTCTTTATATCTTTTTCAACACCTATTCCATTTTCATAACAATGACCTTCCCAAATATCATTGCTTAATTTTAATTTTTTACAAATATCATTGCATTTATGCTTTGCCAGAAAACATTTTTGAATTCCACTCTTTCCTAAGTTTGTTATTCCAAATATTAATAATGTATAGCTGGATCTGTTAACAAGAACTCATTATCGAGTTCAACACCTTGTAAGTCATAAACTGCCAAATATCCTTCACTGTATTGGTACGTAAAATGAGCAAATGCCTCGAGAATAGAATGAAATTCTGTAATTAAACCACTGTTCACGTTAAATTTTTTAAATTTTGCATTATTTTATTTACACGAACCTGTTGAGCAGCTATATTGAAATAAAGTTAGCAACTTTAGTGATTTCTACCGATTCTGAATACTTTTCTATTGTGCCTATTTTAATATCATGATATTTTTTTACCAATAATTTATTGGCTTGTTCAAGGCTTGTATCAAGTGCGAAATAAGCATATCGTTCAGCACCGATGGAAAATGGTTGCGTTGCAAGTTTAAAAGAAATGCCTTGTTCAGTAAAGCTTGAATTGATAAAATAATGTTCATCTTTAACTTCAGCCAAAGTTTTAGGCAAATTATAATATAAAAGTTTTCCTGTTTTCTCTGGAAGAATGGTCCAATCAGGTTCATGTGGATTGATTTGAAGCTTCTTTCGTTGCAAAGAGTATATATTTTTTGAGCTTCTTAAAGTTGTGGTTAATGTAATAGAAGAAAAGATGGCTGAACTAGTAGCATTGCAAAATTTATTGACTAATTTCTCAGGATTATTTCCAGTAGTCTTAAGATCAAATACAGGAAACTCCCCAATTATTTTACGAAATACATTAAGCATAAAATCAGTAAAATTTGTAATTTTTCCGAAGTAGTATAAATGTTTTTTGATTGCATTTTCTTTAGTACATTTTCTGCAGTTAGACCGTTAGGGTCACCGTCTGGATAATCGTCATATAAGTCGGTAAAACGACGGCCATGTGGTGGCGCATCGCCGATATGAATAAGAACACGAGTCCATTGCTCCATAACATTTCAGTTATCGCAGCATCAAGACCACCCAAGACGTCTTCTGGATAATCACCACCACCTTCAGCCTTTACTTTATTAGTCATATATGTTTGAAATTTCTTGAGTGAGTTAGTAAAATCAAAAATCTGCAGACGAAGATCGTCGCAGTGATCACGATATCCACATAAACCAACCCAGAATTCGATATTTGAATTATTGTTGTTTACGTAACTAGTTACTTTTGATATATGCTCTTTCGCTGCTTTGATATGATCAATCATAGAGCTTGTACAATCCAGAACAAAGCAAATATCAACATTCATTGAATCTTCAATATTAATGATTGCCTTTGATACATTATTTTCTCTGTTTTTCCGTAAATATGAAATTCTGTCTATTAATGTTGATGTATTACTAATTTGATCTACTTCATATTCGTAACGCCTAAGACGTTCTTCAAAGATTTTCATATTATCTATAGGCAGCTCTGAAACGCTTTCAGAATTGCAATTAGTATAAACATGATAGTTTGTGCTATAATCGTCTCCTACTTTTTGATTCATTTTTACATATTCGATGTTCCAAAACAATTAGAATTGTTGTCTGGAGTGTAGAGGGCCTGCAGTTGATAATTAAATACGCATAACAACATTGACATATGTACGTACCTGCATGATCGTGTTACAAATAATGCATGGAAATTATTTCCACAATTGTTGGTGGAATTGATCGTTAATAATTTTAGTAATTCCGTACGTATAATAGTTAAATTGCTAAAATTGTGTATAGTTATTCAAAAACTTTTAATAAATTACTCAAATAAGTAATTCAAGTTTGTAAACATTTTACTTATATTCGCATTAATTTAGTTAGTTGAATATGTACATATCCGCGTTAATTTTATATTATCCTTTATCATTGAGATTGTGTTTTAATGTTAGCACAGTACTTTAATAACGATTATGATAACGGGTTTTGTTTCTGTATGATCCGATATATAATTGATCTTACTTTAACTAAATTTATAATCACATGCCATATTGATATAACACTCGTTAAATTTGGATTATTTTAAGAATTCATTGTTTTAACGAATTCATGTATTCTTAGTTCTAACCAACGCTTAACCTTCGTAGAATTGTACATCAAGAAATGTGATTCTCACTCTGATTTAGACCGTTTGAAATTATAACTTCGTTTAATATTCCTCTATGAAGCTTAAGCGCAATTGGAAGAGGGGTCAATTTAACTAAACATTGTTATAATGAATTTATGACTTTCCTTTTTTGGGAACCAGTGTATGGCCGCCTCCAGCATAGTTTACAGTCATGAATAATTGGGTTCAGACTGATTTAGATTAATCAAAATTTTTGAGTAGTTATGTGATATGTGTGTCTTTTTTTTTTTTTTCTTTTACGTTTCTATTTCTTTATAATTAAATGTGGCTTGAGTCAAAATTATTCTAATTTCACAAAAATTCATTTTTGATTTCTGGCAACTTGGATTGTAAAAAAAGTAATTTTGCACTGATGAAAATGGTTTGCCTTTAGTTAACTAAAACTTTAAATGACGAAATAATAAAACTGACGACAGTCAACGAAATGATAAAATTGAACAAATTGATTAAAGTTGATAAAAAATAGCGAAATTGACGAAAGGTGATGATGTAGATGGAAGAAACAAAAGTGACAAAAGGTGACGAAACGATGAAACTGCAAAAAGTAAATAAACTAATAAATGATGATGAAAAGTTGAATGTTGTTGAAGCTCATTAAAGTTAAGATGAATAAAAAGAACTGACAAAAATAAAAAAATTATACAAACTCTCTATAGAATTCTGTTATAGAAAAGATTTTTAAATTCCATATTAATTTTGTATAAAGAGTTACGGTTTTTTAAAAAGTATGGTAAATTTTATATGCGAATTTTTTATTACAGCAAGAGTCCACAGTTTGTTATAGAAAGATTAAGATTGAATCTATTTCAATAATTTGAGATTTTAGTATAGATCATGAATCTTTGCTTACTTTTAACCCGCATGATTATTTCATGCAAAAAAAATATAAAACACCTATTAACAATAATTTGAGAAACAGCAAAACAGCAGCTCCAATAAGCTGATAAAATGACAAATTCTGAAACTTAATATTATTTAAAAAATCACTTGTGCATTTGAGGTTAAAAAAAATTTGAAAATACCTGATAGGTATGGTGTAATATAGCATTTGATCGTCTTTTGATTATTAAAAAAAGTGTTTAAACAAATTTACTTATTATATAAACACCGTGACAATAATGAACTTTAAAATAGAGGTTGGAATCGGGTAATTTAAGTTCTAAAATAAAATTAAGTATTTATGAACTCAGTTTGCTCATTTTTACAAAACTTAGATCTGTATACTTGCTCGATTAATGTGATAAAGCATATTACTTTTTTAAATTTGAGTAGTAGATATTTATGAACTTTCTTATTTTAAATTTTCTTTAAACTCACATGTCAAATAATGAAATATTTTTTATGATAATACTAAATTATCTCGAATACTATCTATATAAATATTGAATGACATAAAATAAATTTTGTTAATGGTGAAAAGAAAATTATACCGAGAAGTGCATCATTGCGTCAATAATTTTGTAGAAAAGCAAAAATAAGTACTATGAGACTAAAAATCTTATTTGTAAACAACTAGGCGCTTGAGTTGCTTAAAGAGAGTTAGAGATAAGTGTACTATACCTTATATTGTAGTATGTAGTACAAGGACCTCATGTTATGATTAGGCTTCATGGTTGCGATAGCAATGCAAGGACATGTTGTGATTTGGTCCTATGTCTGCCGCAGGCAATGCAAGAACATCATGTTTGGTGATTGAGCCCCCATAAAAGAAGTCAAAATTTTTTAAGATTTTTTTCGGATTTTTATTACGAAAAATGCTCATAATAATCCGAACAAAATCTGAATAGAATTTTGATTTTTTTTTTTATTATAGGTCCAAAGATATAATAGCAGTACAAGGATCTCACGTTGTGATTAGGCTCCGTGGCTGCAAGGACCTCATATTGTGATCAGGCTCTATGACTGTCGCAGGCAGTGTAAGAGCTTCATGTTTGATGATTAAGCGCCTTAGCTATGATAGCAGTGCAAGGATCTACGTTGTGATTAGGCTCCATGGATGCAATAGCAATGCAAGGATCTCATGTTGTGGTTAGGCTCTATGGCTCATGTTTGGTGATTAACTCCGCAATTACGTTAACAGTACAAGGATCTTAGGCCAGAGTAATTGGATTCTGTGTTTTACATTACCCCACCCCCCTCAGCGCCCCCCCCCTCATAGTGGGATATTTCGGAAAATTTTTATATGGTCACGGGACAATTCGGAAAAAAAATTTAAATTTTACTACGTATGTAAATCACAAACCCCCCCCCTCTTCCGGAGGGGAGAGGGGGGTAATGTAAAACACAGAAACCAGTTGGTCTGGCCTTATTTTGTAATTAGGCTCCGTGTCTGCGATAACAATGCAAAGGAACTCATGCTGTGATTAGGCTCTATGACCATCACAGGCAGCGCAAGAGCCTTATTTTTGGTGATTAAACACCACAACTACGATAGCAGTGCAAGGACCT